CGCAACCGTGAACGGTTTCGACGATTGGGGGGGGCTCCTGAATTCAATGCGGATGCCGTGGGTGTGCGTGGGAGCGCGTCGGCGGCGCCATCATCAAGACAGCCGATGTCATCGGGACCTGTGCGCAAAAGAATGGCCCCGACAGCATGTTTGATTACGTTGTCATGAGTCCGTCGGCGGTACTTTTCGCGAAGGATGTGGCTCCAATCAGGGGCGTTGCCTGGGCGCCCCACATAGGCCTTGTCATCACCCTTCGGGCCGCTGGGCAGCAACTAGAGACCTGCGAGCTTGAATTGCCATACCGTCGTCCCCAGCCCCGGGGGCATCGAGTTGAACCCACAGTCGGATCAAAGTCGAGCGCAGCGAAAGCTAAGATGGCAGCGGGGAGGCAGCTGGCCCGTGAGAAGCGTGACGTTTCTTTTTTTTAAATCCATTTGGAGACTGCCTTCAGGACAGCGCTGGACCCCAAGACCCCGCTGGGCAACCGCCCCCGTGGGAACCCGAGGAGGACCAGGATCCAGAGTTTTGTTCCACTCTGAGTTTGAAGAGGACGCCTGGGCCAACGAGCTCAACTTTTGTAGTGATGCGCAGCTGCCTCGAGCTCTGGAGTCGCTGGAGGAGCCATCGGGCAAGGTCCCCCTGGGGCCCCAACAGGCCAGAGAAAAAGGCGGTTTGGCTAGTAGTCAGCGATGTAGAGCAGGTAGTCAGAGTCGAACTTGCATGTATTCGGAGGGGCGCGATGCCCAGACCCCCCCTCCTCGGAACCCCTTAATGTTCAGCAGCGGCAGCAAGCCACAAGCATGAGCCTTGAGGCCAAGCCGGAGACCTCGTTCGAAGTCCCCATGGAGACGTGGATGGAAAGTAGGAGCCAGGTTGGGTTTCAATCAGGAGCCTGTGGTGGCCGCTACCTCCCCCCACCTCTCCTCCCCGCAGCCTTTTAGCTCGAAACTCCGCAAAGCACGCTTGTGTCTGGCATGCGTGCCGGTTGGACAGTGGCGGTTGAGAAGGCAATCCATACTCATCGTGACATTTAGGCCAGCCCTGGAGTTCCACGGTCTGAGGGGCCCAGGTTCTTCGAGCGCCCGCTGCGGACCACGGCGTAGACGCGCCAGCTGCCGCTCATGGACCAACGTAGCCAATGGTAGGCGAAGGTACACGCTGTGCTGGGAGGTGCACCGCGCCATCGTGAACGACAGAACTGGAAGAAGCAGCTCGACGAGTACGCTAAGATATGCGGGCAGCTGTGCCATTCTAGGCCGACCAACGTCCGCGCCATCATCAATATGGGCAAGGAGCCGCCAATGGACCAGTGGATCAGTCTGCTCAGGAGTCCGATGACGACGGTGATTCCCATCTTGGCCTCCGTTGTTGAGAATGCTTAAAAGTTGCAAGCTCGAGCGCAGGGGACGGCGATTCGAGAGTCGATGAATGATTAAAAACTACGGGTGACTGATCATATTGCAAATGGGATTTTGCACAAGTCCCTGAGGCAGCAGCCGACGCCGCCTCCCGACCTTGAAGCGGACGGGAAGGTGCTGATCCACCCAATCCAGATTTTGGATCAGAAGGCGTCAGCGGTCAAAAAGCTGCAGGCACCACGGGTGCCAGACATGGGCGAAGTGCGCGAGGTATTCCGACTCATTCGCAGTGAGGCGCAGTCGGATTCGTTTCCCGTTGCCAGGTATTACAATCGAACAGGTGCATCGGAGTGCGGGGGCCATGAAAGCGAAGGCGGGGCCCGGAGCCGATATGATGAGCCCGTTGACTACTTTCAACGCCTGCCGCATGCAGCTGTTCAAGAGTTGGTGCTTCTGCTTCTCAGTGTTGCACACATTCTGGCATGGCCTGTTCAGGCGCCCCCCGTGGTGGGAAACCTCACACCGAAGAAAGCAAGCGGCGACCGAGCCATCGGCGTCATCCCGATGCTGGCGAGGTTGTGGTCTCGCATTCGCGAGCCGCTGGTGCGCCAGCGGTCCGCCGACGAAGCCCCGGCGCGGGGTGCGGCGGGGGCCGGCAGCTCGCGCCTCAAGGAGGCCCACCTGCGGGCCATAAGAAACGAGGAGCTGGCGAGCACGATGGGGCTGCAGGTTGGGCCGCGGACGTCTGGACATGCAGGAGTTCGACGACACGATCCCCTGGCTGCCGCTGGCCAAGGCGGCCCTCCGCCTGCACTTCCCACCAATCATCCTCTACCTCGAGCTGGTGATGCGCGTGGCGACGAGGACATTCTCCCTAGAGGGCGCGGTGCCATCACCCTTCGAGCCGTTCCAAAGCGTTGTGCAAGGATTAAGATCGGGGACGCGTTTCGCGAAAGTGCTGACACATCTTGTAATGAAAGCAGTAACGACAGCGACGCCGATGATAGCCCATCGAGTCTGGATAGATGCCATCTCACAGAAGACGAAGGGATCACGGCAGGCCAGCATATCGTATATAGTCAAACGTGTTGTTAAGACTGGACCTGAGTTGAGCAATGAAATCGGTGATAATGCGTACGACTCCCCAAGACGCTTAGATGGTGGCCACAGCTATCAAACTGAGAGAATGTGTTGTCAAAGAGGTTCGTCCAGCCGCATATCTTGGAGTGGATTTGTCATGTGGACGTCGAGGCCGCGCGACGCGGACTCAGAGACAGGAAAAACCAGAAGCAGATGAATGGTAAGATCGTGCGATATTGTCAGGCAGGCCATCGGTACACACTGCTCTCCAAACTTGAGCAGAACGGAGGCCAGCCTGCGGGCACGCATGGCTCCCAAATCCAGTGGAGCGTTGGCACACAACTGAAGATATGCCGCCGCAGGCCCGGGCAGACTTGTGCAATTGGGACACGATGACGCTGCCTGGCCATTCTTTTGGATTTGCGTGCGCCCGACTGTGATCCAGGAGTTGCGTATCCTGTGCGTTGTATCGACATGTGGCTGAGCATATGGCAATCTAACCAACAATTGAGGAAGAGCACCAAGTACGTGTGGCCAAGGGTGGTCGAAGCGGTGCGGAGCCGTCCGACAGGTGAGCAGGTGCGCACCGCAGGGATCCCATTTCGGCTGCCATCTTGACGCTGCTGAGGCTGGAGCGGGATCCCATCAGTACATCAGTCTGGTCATACGCTTCCCAGCATCACACGACAGAGGAGTGGCAGTTCCCTGACGAGATCTACGCGGGCAACAAAGATCTTGACAATCATCGGGCGCTGTTGGCAGATGTGAAGAGGTCGGGTGAGCTCACTCAGTGGCGCCAAGCGGCCAACCACTACTGTGGGGGGAGGAGCGGAGGATGGCGTCGACAACGTGTCGTTCCGCACGCTGCGGCGCCAAGTGGCTCAGCTCCCCCAGTGGTATTCGGCTGGCAGGGGTTTTGGTCTGCACAGCCACTGGTGGGTTTGGGACAGAACAGAGAAAGGTTGATGAGATCAAGAGCTTTCGTGGCGACGCGATCGGTGACCATGTCAGAGACACCGTGCCATTGAGCATGGAGCTGTGCAAAGAATGCGAGTGCTCCGCCGTGTGCCGCCTCGGAGGAGCTGGTGGCTCAGGCGCTGACCCGGGTCAACACGGCGGAAGGCTCCTGGCCGCGTGGCCCTATCCCGTCGCGCTGGCTGGAGGTCCCGAGGCCGCCGCAGGAGGCACAGTGGGAGTTCGCAGGGGTCAACGAAGTGCCCAAGGCACCTTCGGCAGCGGCTCCCTCGGGATCCCTGCCCAGATCTCCGGCGATGCCAGCGGAGGGGCCGATTCTGCAGTGCCGAGGCCGAGGCGAGTGGGCGTGGCTATTGTACGTACTGAGTGCCCCACGCTGCAGCTCACAGGTGCTGTGTACGGCCCGCTGCAGGGCGACCGACAGGAGATGCCAAGAGGAGAACTCGTGGCCTTGCATCTTGCGATTTGGGCAACTACACGATATATCACGTACACCACGGATTGTGAATCAGTGGCGATGGGATGGTATGTCAAACAGATTTGGGAACCCAGCAGGACCAGATGCAGATGTGTAGCACACATTGCCGAGGTGATGAAGGAACGTTCATCTCGTGACATCGTGGTCTTGTGGACCAATCCGCATATGGGAACCGAGGAGATTGTGAGTGGGAAATGATTGCGCACACTTGTTGATGGCAACTTGCTGGCTCATGAACTTGCAGGCTTTGCCGACGAGAATGCCCGCCTCCCCGAGAGCATCAGAGCCCGAATCTTGACTCACGAAAGACGTGCGTTCCTGGTCAGAATGAGATTGTTGAGATCTGCCTTGGGCAGCATGCAAGCAACACAAGAGTCTGAACGTGAGGTGAAGCCGAAGTCCCGTGAGGCCCCTCCCCCTCCCCCTCCTCCGCGTCCCCATTCTGCTGCTGTTGTTGCGGCTCTCCAGTCTCGACACAGTCTGGCGGACTGCCAGAGGAAATGCCTTCGATGTTTCGGCTCAGCTAGTGCTGACGCTGTCAAGGAGTGTTGGGCGTCTGAGTATAATCATCTATATATATATATATAATGTTGATGGGGCTTATAGCGGGGGGCTGGGCACACACTACACACACACCTTGAATGTACACTCGTTCTTTCAGGTTTGGTTTTATACTGTGTGCGGCGCCATCGCTGATAAGGCGATTCGCTCTTTACAGGCGCCCTGCAAACTTATAATGTTCAAGCACGGAGGGCAATCTGTTGACAGGATCCGTCCGGGGTTGCAGCCCAAGGTCCTGAGCCGAGCCGAGCCGAGCAGTCGGCTCTCTCGAGTGTTCCTCCCAGGTCAGGCTAAGTCAAACCGCACTTGCACCGCAACGGGGTCCAGTCCACTCCACTCCACTCCACTCCACTCCACTCCACTCCACTCCACCCCACTCCACTCCACTCCACTCCACTCCATTCCACTCCTCCTCCTCCTCCTCCTTTTCCTCCGCCTCCTCCCCCTTCTCTTCCTCCTCCCCCTCGTCCCCCCCCCCTCCTCCCCCTCATCCCCCCCCCTTCTCCTCCCCGTTCTCCTCACCTTCCCCTCGCAGGACTGGCAGGTTCTCCGGACGCTCGCCATCCAGTGGGGGGCACCTCCCTTCGGTGGAGAGGGCTATCGCAGGGACCTGCGAGGAGGGGTATACTTGGCACAGGTTACCAGCCTGGAACATATCCCTATCCCTATGCTGGGCATCTCCTCATCACGATGCCAATCTCAGGGATTCCCTTCGTTTTTCGGGGCGAATCCCTAAGATTGTCATCGCCTTTTGGCGTGTCAATCTTAGGGATAGGGATAAGTTCGAGGCTGGTGAACAGGGCGGTGCACTGCAGCACCGTTGACGCATCCACCTGGCGCGCGCAGACCGTGCGCGGCGTGGGCGCCGGACCCACCGATCGGGGAAGGCACCCCCGAAGCATGAGTCCAGTGCTAAGTCGGGCGTGTACCCACTACAGGGGGATTTGGGGCGAACAAAAACAAAAACAGCCAAAACACTCAAACAAAAAAAATGGTAAAACATAACATCGTCCCCAGACGATGTCTTGATATTCGACTATGTTTGCATATTCCTCCTGTCGAGGGACAGTCCCGACTAAAGTCCAGTGCAGCCTGATTCGGAGACCGAGCGCACCGATCCTGTACGGAAACGGGACCCCGCGCTAACCCACGCGACTGGATCCATGATCGCGCTTCCTCGGGCGAATCCAAGGACTGCTCTGGTTTCGGATGCAACTCCTGGACGAATCAATTCGACACCGGCACTGGATGATCAATGGGCGAGAACGGGTATAAGTCCGCTCAATTCCGCGCAATCCCGCTAAATCTGGCGGTCTTGATTGGGTCTTGGCCAATCCGGTTCACCGGCCCCGTAGAATCGGCCTTCATATCCCTGCATCGGTCTGACCAAGACCTCCCAAAAGCTGCATCCTGATCTGGTCTCCCAGCTCCTCCTCTTGTCCTCCTCCTCCTCCTCCTCCTCCTCCTCCTCCTCCTCCTCCTCCTCCCCCTCCTCCTCCTCCTCCTCCTCCTCCCTCCTCCTCCTCCCTCCTCCTCCCTCCTCCTCCTCCTCCTCTCCTCCCTCCTCCTCCCTCCTCCTCCTCCTCCTCCTCCTCCTCCTCCTCCTCCTCCTCCTCCCTCCTCCTCCTCCTCCTCCTCCTCCTCCTCCTCTCCTCCTCCTCCTCCTCCTCCTCCTCCTGCTCCTTCGGCCCTGGGCCTCCCCAGCTCCGCCTCTGCCCCGCGCCTTTTCTGGACAGGAAACTGTCGGCGGACCTCCCGGCGGGCAGCCGGCGGCCCCGAGTGATCGAGCGGGGAGGCCCCGACGCCCTCTGGCCCTCCTCGTCTTGGTGGCAGCATCCGAACCCCACCCCACCAAGCCTCGATTCCCCTGAGTCGATGGGAGGCGGGGGCGGGGCTCGGACTTCGCCACGTGCTCGACGCATTTCGAGTCCTACCCTCGCCGCCCGTCGAGTTGCCTGGATCGTCGATCGGCGAGGGCAGGGCTCGGACGTCTCCGCCGACTATTCGTTCCCCTCTCCCTGCTCCAGCTCCTGCTCGTCCTGCGCCCGCTCCTCTTGAGACGCGGCCACGACTGGGACAACATCGGACCGGGGCAAAACGTGCACCTCTGAGATCAAAATGAGGCTCTCGCCTAAGCGTTGCGCACATTCGTACTACAAGTGTGCACGAGTTTCACGGATGGAGGACAGCGTCGTTTCGAAATGTATCTCTCGCCCGAGCGCCGCGCACATTCGTCCGAAAAAGTGCACAGCAGTTTCAAGAATTCTTCTGGTGGAGGTCCGAGCACTGGTCTTTTGGCACGTCTCGGGACTATTAGGGCGCGACAGTCACGTTAATTCGCGGCCCTGACGTCCCAGAAATGGTGTTCTGGCACGATATAGGCAGTGACGTTGACTCGCGGCGTTGAAGTCCAAGGAATGGTAAACAGTTGTCTTCAAACGGAGCTCCTCCCGCAGCGAAGATCGATGCTTGGAAGAGCCTGTGAAGAGGGAACTTGGAGGGAGCGCAACATCGCTGGTGAGTCTTGGGTTTGCACTGGAGACCTTTTTTTTGAATCGGTGATAACCCGGGATATCCAGGGGGGGGGAGGAGGGGACCGGCCGATAACCTAACCTTCGGGCTGTGGACAGCCCTGCATATGCCCGCACCCCCCCACCCCGGACGTGCACAACCGGCAAGGTTAGGTTATCCTGGGGCTTGGGGGGGAGGGGGGCCAAGCCAGATAACCCGGTTATCGCCGGACCCCCCAAAAAACAGTCTCCTGGTCCTCCTCCTGCTGCTGCTGCTGCTGCTGCTGCTCCTCTCCTCCTCGTGCTCATGGTGAAGGCCCGATGGACCCGTGACCCAATCGGCGGAGAAAGTCGGCGAGGAGCGGCCGGATCGGGAAGAACAGGCACGCGGGCTTTGCTCTCTTGAGAACAGCATTGCCCTGCAAGGCGAATCCTAGAGGCTGAGAGCTGCAAGATGTTGCGCAATCCTGACTCGAATTCCTCCTCCTCCTCCTCCTCCTCCTCCTTGTCCTCTTCTTCCTTCTCCTCCTCCTCCTCCTCCTCCTCCTCCTCCTCACCCTCCTCCTCCTCCTCCTCCTCCTCCTTCTCCTCCTCCTCCTCTGAACACATGCTGACCATTACGATATATCCCCATCTGGAAAACGGGTAAAACAGCTCGTAGATATCGTAAAGCGTTCGGAGTAAGCGTACTCAATGATGCATTCATCGAACCTGCAAACACACACACACACTGCCGCCATCTGAATCACTTTTGGCACTGTGTCAATTGCTCGTTTGGATGCCTACTTGCGTTAAGCTTCTGAAGGGCCCTATACACACACACACTCACATTTGGACGCCCGAAGTGGGTACGGAAAAAATGGGTACAATGCCCAACAACAAATATTGTCCCAAACCAACAGCGGCCGCTGTTGGACAAGCGGCCTTCTGTCTCGAATGGACACAAGCCGCGGCGGCGTGGACAGCGAATCCGGTTCAAAATGAACAGGAACTGATGTTGGGCATTGTACCCATTCTTTCCGTACCCATTTCGTTCGTGCAGATCACACGCCCACACACTTCTCATGGGCTCCACTGTTACACGCTTCTGAGGGCAGTCCGGGAGCGCCTCAAAAAGACCCATAACAATCTTCCACACCATGCCCTGCCACCTGAAAGCCAACCAGGTGCGCGTAACTTAACTCTTAATCCTCCTCCGCTGTTGTCCAACATCGTAACGCAGAATTCCATATGAGAATTGAGCGCTCTGGGTCACTGTTACGCCTGTGTTTAACCGTACCTTGCAACCAGCTGAAAAAAGAGCAGCTCAAGTGACTGCGGAAAAGGAATTGCGTAACTTATGCTAGCCAAGAGAATTGCGGACAAGGCGCAATCGATTCAGGAATTAGGAACTGCAGCGGAGGACACGTCTGCTAGCGGCATTGGCTTGCAATGTATCCCTGGGGCTGCAATACAAACTACAACTGTCTAAAACAATTGGGCTTCAGGACCTGCGCGCGTAGACCAACGTCAGGGCACCGGAATGGTGACCCTGGTGCTGGCGGCCCGCAGGTGTGGGCGGAGCGAAGGAGGGCGTCCTCTCGCCATCAACAGTGCCCAGACCTCCGATGCTCCAGGTCTGTTGAGTGCCAAGACGAGAACAAGACGAGGATAAACCTGGACGGGGATTGATCGGGAAACTCTGAGAACTGGCGAGCCTGGGAGTTGTATCGGGCGCCGCGAACGTTCCAGACAATCAAGAACGCTCTAAACCGATTATGAGGAAATCAAAGTGTACCGATACCGCTACTCTCCAGACCTCTCCCAGGGGGCATTCTGAAGAGAATTCCGAGGAGAATCCAGCGGTGGCGACGAGAGCCTCCGAGGAGGCCCGACAAGGGGAAAACGGGGCGAGGGTAGCAGTGTGGGTTCCTTTTCATTGTTTTTGAATAAAAAAAACTGGGATCTCCAGCGGGCATTCGGGACGATCTGGGCACTCCTGGAACGCCCGCGGCGAGGCGCAGCTGCTGGCAAGCTTCCCGAGGCTGGAAAACCGTCGAGAATGGACGAACACGCCTGAAAACCTCGAGCCTCGAACCCGAAACTTCCCCCCCTCGCTCGTCGCCGACTTTCCTCCTCCTACGTCATTGTTCCTCATCTTCGGCCTGCCCGAAGTCCGCGGGCCCCCGATCTCGCGACCCCTCTCGACGACCCGCCCCGCGGCCCGGAGCACGAGAGCGGCACTTGGAGCGAGGACCTTGTGTGAGACGAAGGCAGAAACGAGACAAACTTGGACCGATATGAATCGGATACCTCCGAGAATCGGCGGGTTTGGAAGATGTATCGGGTGCCGCGGCCGCGTTGGAACGGTTCGGAACGCTCCGAGAGCGTTCCAGTACGCTCTGGAACGGATCGATCTCGATTCGAGGCACGTCCGATTGTGGGAGTTCTTCTGTTTGCAAGAGGTGGGAGGTCTGGGAGAACGCACTGGTGAAATGCCACACTGAAGCGCCACATGCAACACTGGCCGCGTGCGGAAGAAAGCCGGCACCCGGAGGTCCAGCGCCTTTTGGCGCCTTTCTGCCTCCGCATGCCTAATGAATCCGCCACCGTTATAAGACGAAGCCAGGGCGAGGACAAAATCGGGTGACGATAAATCGAGTCTCTCTAACTTGCGGCGGCTCGGGAGGATGCCTTGGGCGCAGCGGCTTCCTCAGAGAGTTCTGGAACGCTCTGAGATCGCTTCGGAAAGCTCTGAAACCGACTTCTCCTCGTCCTAGCCCCGATCGAACCGTGCCTTCAGCACGTACTGGAGTGCCTCAAGGCTCATGCAGCCTTGAGGGGCAGAACATTGGACCCAGAATCCTGGTCTCCCGGGCGCTTTTGGGCGGGGTGTTCTGCGTGGGCCTACGAAGGCCCCCCAAGCGATCCACACAAACATTCCATGCAAAGGCCTCTGACCTACGACCCGGGCGCGGTGGCACGTTGGGCTGGAGGGCATTAGATCAGCCGCACTCGCCACAGGGTCTGCACGGTGTGCCAAACGTCAGGTAATGTTTGCTGATGTTCAATTGCTCGCAGGCGCCTTTGGCCCAACTCGCCAGCCATCAGGAAGGGCCGCAAGGACGCGGAAGGACGCGGAAAATCTCCAGCGTCCAAAACAACTCGTCTCCAGGAAGACCCGTAAACTTCCCAGGTCGTCGGTCTTCCCGCGCCAGGCGACCTCAAGATGGCCTCCAAGACGGCCAAGACGGGCCGAGATGCCAACAAGATACCCCCAAGATGACCCAAGATGGTCTCAAGATCGCCCAAGAGGCCTCCAAGACGGCCCAAGAAGCCTTTGAGAGGACCTCCAGGAAACTCCGAAGAGGCCCAAATCATTGATCGTCCGTAGGTGTTTGAAGGATCTGGGCGTTTGTTCATATTCGGCTTTTCGACGGCCCATGACGGCCCTAGAGGTCACCAAGAGCAGCCAAGAGGCCTCCGAGATGACCCCCTGACGGCCCCCCAAGCCCCCAACACGGCCCAGGAGACCTTCAAGATGCCCAAGATGGCCTCCAAGACGGTCCTGAAGCGCCCCAAGAGTGCCCCAAGTCGGCCTAGAGATGCTCTCAAGGCAGCGACTGACGATGTCAGACGGGCCAGGGGCGCCCTCTGACTGCAAATGACCTCCTGAGGAGCTGCCAAAAGGCCCCCAAGAACCAAGAAAGCCCCCCAAAGGCCTCGAAGATGTCCACAGGAAGCTCCCAGGAGGCCCCAACAGTGCCACAAGAGGCTCCGAAAGGGTCTTCTTCTCCTCCTCCTCCTCCTCCTCCTCCTCCTCCTCATCCTCCTTTCTCCTCCCCAACCTTCTCTTGCTTCTCGACTGGTTTCCACAGCGGCTGGGGGAACACGTAGTCTGATAGCTTAGCCAAGCTCTGGCTTCAACGTTCGGCCACATAGGCGCTTCCCAAAGGCAGGGGGCCGCGGTGCTTCGCCGTAGGCGTCTTCAATACAGACCAGCGGAAAGGTGAGGCAAGGGGTCTCCTCGGCTGAAGAACAAGCGCGCGGAACGTGAGCTTCGCGGGGGTGGATGTCCATGCCAATGGCTTGTCACGATCGACGAACGTATCCGTATCCGTGCTCTCGCGGTCTGGACTCCGTGGCTCCCGCGGATACGCGGTCGCACGGATACGTCCCGCACGAGGCATCCGTGAAAAAACGTTCAATATCTGCGGGGTCATGGCCCTGAGGCCCAGCCCACGAGGCCGCGGATACGGATATGTCTTTCACCCACGAGACTGATACATATCCGCCTATCCGAGAGGGAAACAAGGGGCTCGAGGGCGTCGCCGAAAATTGAATGCGGACCCCCTCCGAAACGCAACGGGCTAGAACAAACCCACATTCAACACAACTGGAGATCTCCTGCTACATCGGGAGATAGGGATAGATCTCGGGCGTGGGCACAGAAGGTATGCACAATCTTGTCTAGGGCATGTGAGGCAATTATTTCTGCAGAAGACAGCAGCGTCCTTCACTGTCCACGCGCTCGTCTTTACATGCGAATTGCCTATCTACAGATTGTAAGTGCCGTTCTTTGTGCACAAATGGACAGTGAAACTCTGCTCGACACTGCAGCGCTGCCCATCTGGCCAAGACACACAATCAGTCCATCAAGGCGGAAAAATAACAGACGTACAGCCAGCGTCTTGCCAGATGAGAACCTTACGTAGCACCCCGCAGTTGCGGATACGAGTGAGGCAGCGGGCACGTTTCGCGGGTGGGTCGGGGGTGGGTCGATGGTGGGTCGCGGGAGGGTTGCGGGCGATGACGACGGCAACAATCGTGGTCTGATTATTCGCTCTTATCTGTTCGGGTGCCACTCACCTTATATCCCAAATCATCGATGCCCGCCCGCTTCGTCTTCGATCGTCCCCCCTTGGGGGGCATATCTTCCTGACCAACCACATGCAATTGGCGCCGCCCCTAGAAGACGGGAAGGGAGGCAGGAGGGAAGGGACGAGGGGAAGGGAGAATAATGGAGCACGACAGAGAAGAAGGGGGTTCGGAGGAGCACAACAAGCGGCAGAACCACACGCGCAGGTCAGGCGGGCGGACCCTAACGGCCAGGTCGAACGCGCGGGTCGCTGCAGCGTCAGTCCTGCACAAGTCGCGGGGAAGTCTCAAACGATACCGCGATTCTCAAGTAGATCGTGGGGACGTCCAGAGCGAGAGCGTGATTCCTGAGTGTCGAGGACGCGGCGTCTGGATAAATTGCGAGTCCCACTCCTACGCGAGATCGCGCGACTCCTGCATAAATCGTGAGGTCCCGCGCGAGAGCGCGATTGCTGCAAAGAGTGCTAGAAGGTATAAGGCGGGAGCCGTTGAGGTAGTTCGGGAACCAGGTGCCCAATCTGAGCCTCACAACCGTACTTTGTGAAAGAACCTAGGTGAGAGCCCCGGGAGGAGCACAACATGTCAAAAACAACACGGGCAAAGGATGGGGGCATCAACGATAATTATTTGTTTATCATGGACTTCCAACAACCATTGAAACTGCTCGCTTCGTTTCTGCGTGCGAACCACACACCCTGTATATTCCAAACCCTCGAGGCCCGCCAGCTTCGTCTTCGATTGTCACCCCCCTTGTGGTACGTCTCCCTGACCTACGACCTGCAGCTGGCGCAGCCCCTGCAAGACCGGCGGAAAGGGAGGGAGGAGAGAAGGGTCAACTGGCCATCGCTCGGACGTCCATCCCCTGTGTTTTTTTGGGGGTTTCGTGCGTGGTTCCCTACCTAGGCTCTGCCTAGAAGGGTTCTTACTCGGAGGCTTAAAAGGCCGGGCAGTGGAACGCGAACCGGGCGGTTCCCCCGGCATCCGCCCCGCGGTTCCCCCAGTGACGTTCCCTTAGCTTCGCGTTGCTTATCTCATCTTAGCTTATCTTATTTCATCTTAGCTTAGCTTCATCTTAGCTTAGCTTAGCTTCATATAGATGTTAGATGTTGCTTTCCTAGATCCTCCAACTCCTAGGTAGGGTCGCACTGGGATATTTTTTCCCGCAGGATGATCCGGAATGCTCCTGAAGAACTCCCGCCGAGAAGAAGTGCACACGTCCGAGCGATACCAAGGGAAAGGGAGGGAGGAGAGAAGGGACAACGGGGAGGGAGACGAATGGAGCACGAGAGAGATTATTGGGCCAGGCGAAAGGGGGGGATAGCAAAGGGGGTGTTTGAGAATCAGCTCACGTAGCTGATTTTCCTGGCGCCTCCTGGCGCCGGAGGCGGCCATGTATCGAGGAATGGGCCCCTCGGTGGGGCCGAAACCAGCTGCATGCAGCAAATTTCGTAACCCCCCCTTTCCCAATCCCCCCTTTGGTCCGGCCCGAGATTAGCAAGAGGGAGTGTTTGGAGCAGAAGGACACGCGTCAGAAGCAGCCGGGAGGGTCGGGCGGGGCGGACTTCGGGCGGGCCAGTCGGGCGGGCGAGGCCGGAAGGCCGGGAGCGGGGCCGGGCGGGCCGCGGAGGCGTCCTGCGCTGCAGGAATCGCGAGGTGGTCTCCAGCGATGGCGCGATTTTTTCCCTGCAAGTCGTGAGGAAGCTCGAAGCGAGAGCGTGATCCTGGAGTGTCGAAGGCGCGGCGTATGAGCAACATTGAACAAGGGGTCCCTCGCGACAGCGCGATTCCCGAGCAAACTGTGACCAGGTCCCGCGCAAGAGAACGGACTTGAGTACGTGTGAGGAAGAACCAGGCGGAAGCCGCAACTGTTGCTATGAGAACATGGGGCCACGGGCACCATCTGGAACCCAGGACGCTGTCATGTAAACGGCACGGTGTGAGCCCCGGGAGGGACGCTTATTTGGAAAAGCACCATGGGCACCAGAGGGGGGATGCACAATCGTAAATTCGTAAACGCTAGACTTCAAGACTCGTTTGGACTCACGCTTAACGGCTCGCGTGTCATCTTACCTGCACGTCCTACAAACCATCGGGGCCCGCCGTCTTCGCACTCCACCGTGACCCCTCTGGGGGTGTACCGTCCTGACCTGTCGCGCGTGGTGGCGCAAGGGTCGGGCCGGACGAGAGGGGGGGATTGGGAAAGGGGGGGTTACGAAATCTGCTGCATGCAGCTGGGCTCGGCCCCACCGAGGGGCCCATTCCTCGATACATGGTCCAGGGCTTGGCCCCCCCCCCCAATGCTGACTGATGCCGTTGGGCCCCCCCCCCCGCGCGATGGTCCCTCCCGCCCCCCCCTGTGGGCGTGGCGGGTGCTGCGCTGCGGTGCCCCCCCCCCCCCCCTGTGGATGTGGTGTGGTGCCGTGGTGGTTCAGAGGTGGGCGTGGCGTGGTGCTGCGCTGCGGTGCCCCCCCCCCCCTGCGGATGTGGTGTGGTGCTGTGGTGGTTCAGAGGTCGTCGTCGTCGTCGTCGTCGTCGTCGTCGTCGTCGTCGTCGTCCTCGTCGTCCTCGTCGTCCTCGTCGTCGTCGTCGTCATCGTCGTCGTCGTCATCGTCGTCGTCGCCGCCGTCATCGTCGTCATCGTCGTCGTCGCCGACGCCGCCGGCGTCGTCGCCGCCGAAGCCGTCGTCGTCGTCGTCGTGGTCGTCGTCGTCGTCGTCGCCGTCGTCGTAGTCGTCGCCGTCGTCGTCGTCGTCGTCGTCGTCGTCTCTGGGACCATACCATCTGGGGGGGGGGCCCGTGGGCCCGGAGCCCAGGACCATACATAGCCGCCTCCCGGCGCCGGGAGGCGCCAGGAAAATCAGCTACGTGAGCTGATTCTCACCCCCCCCCTTTGCTATCCCCCCCTTTCGCCCGACCCGAAAGGAAGGGACACGGGGGAGGAAGAGGGAGAGGGGTGTTCAGCCGAATGTGTCACCGCCCCCTCGTCTACGTCTGCGCGCACACGAGCCCAAGGAGGAGCAGGAGGCGGAGGACGGGCCAGGAGGGGGGCAGGAGGAGGAGGAGGAGGGGCAAAGAAGAGGAGGGGCGGGAGGTGAAGGGGGTGGGGTACAGCCAAGACGCTGAAATAAGGACCGCTTTGGGTTCGGAAGGGGCTCGGGGAGAAGGGTCGCTTCTTAGATTTGTGTCGGGGGATTTGCTTGTGGCCTAGGCCCACCGCGGCCAGAAAAGCCCCTTTGTTCCTGATTTGGCGTTCCTTCTGGTAGTACCTCGACTGTAACGTTGGAGGAGGGAAGCGAGCAGGGGGAAGGAGACGGGTGGAGGACGAAAGGGACGGAAGCCAAGGGCAGAACGACAGGCGGCAAAACCAAACGGACAGGCCAGCCGGAAGGAGCCGGGCGGGCGGGCCAGAGACGGCCGGGTCGAGCGAGGGAGGTCGCTAAATCGGCCGTCCGGCATGCGTCGCGAGGAGGTCTCGAGCGACGGCGCGATTTTTCCCCGTAGATCATGAGGAAGTTCCGGAACAGGAGCGTGATCACCGAATGCCGAAGGCCAGGCGTGCAAACACATTGCGGAAACGTCCCGCGCGAAAGCGCGATTCCGGCATACATTGTGGAGAGCTCCCGCGCCAGAGCGCGATTCAAATAAATGGTAAGGAAGTATCAGGGCCGGAGCTGCTGTTGTAAGCTGGGGGCCAGAGGCGCAATCTGAACCCCAAGACTTCCTTTTGTAAGAAACAAAATGCGAACCCCGGGGAGGGCGCTTCAACGGAAAAAAGACTAGGGGCACCGCAAGGGGTGATTCACAATACTCATTATTCCGGAATGCAAATGCAACTGCAACACAACAACAGTCCGCACCGCGGAAACGTACTCCAGTCAAACGCCCAGGGGCAAAGAAGAACCGTTCGGCCCACTCGCACTGATGTAAAGATATAGAACAATCCGTACGCAAAGAGTCGGGCCCGTGATGAGCCCACCTGCACCCAGATATGCGCGAAGTGTCCAGACGAGGACCCTACCCCGAGCTCTGTCCAAGGCCCACGAGGGTCGCAGGAGCCCTCCAGAAATCCGCCAAATCATCAGTGCCCCCCTGGAGGCCCGAAAGGTCTTGACTGTACTCACCCAGAAATCCTTCCTGAAACCAGAGTGGCCCTTTACTTCGACGTTTGACTGCACCAGCCTATGTGGCAAATGTCCCAGACGATAATTCTACGTCGCAGCGCGGCAGAGGCAGTCCGCACGCGTACTCACGCGGTCCGGGCAAGGGACAGGCGAAAGCGGCCGCGAAGGAGGAGGCATGGGAGGGCACTCGCATGGCGAGGTGCGTCACCCTGGAGCGGCTGGGGCGGCCAGCCAGTTTTGCACCGGCCACACAAACATAAGCGCGCCAACCGCTACTATCACACTGGGGGCCCCAGTCAGCGCGCCACTCCGGCGAAGGGCCCCTCTTGCGCGCAGTCGAAGAACCCCCTCCTGAAACCAAAGTGGCCCCTACTTCGACGCTCGATTGAAGCGGTCTCTGTGTGGCAGAAGTGGCAGATGCCCCAGTCAGTACGTGTGAGAACGACGTGTAAGAGCGGGCCTTGCGCGAGATTGCATACCGACCTTACGCCGCGGCTTACGCGGGCCGCCAGCGCCGCACAACACAGTGAAGACGAGGGCGCCTACGCGCGACCTTGCGGGAACAACCTGCGCGCACATTCACGCGCTGTCGCAAACGGAACCCGCGCGGACCTCCAAACGCTCGTTCCCATGCAGTCCTCCGCAACCAAAGACTGGCGCACATGAACATCGTATGAAAATCTCGCGCGCGAGCCGCGCACACGCTGGCCGCAAGCCTACGCCGGAACCGCTGCCGCGCGCGGGCGGACGGCGGGCGCGCCTCGTGGGCAGCAGCTGGCACGCCCGCCGCCCCAAACGGAGAAGCGAAGGCAGGAGGAGCGGAAAGCCGAGAGGCCCGAACCTGAGCGGCCCAACGCCCTCACTCTGGGTGTCTTGGAGGCGCTGGCCAGAGCTCGTGGCAGACTGCAGGACGAGGCGATGCCGGGGGCGGCACGGGCCACCCGCATGGGTGTTTGGCTGCGGTGGTTCAGGAATGTGCCCATGAGGCTGCAGACCCTGGAGGATTCCTTATTTGATGAGGGCGGCGGTGATATTAGGGGGACGAACAACGACATAAACATAAAAACTCAGAGGTCCGCGCGGATTTCTGGGATCGGCGCTGGACCCCCTCCCTGGCGCGCTCCGCGCGCAAGGGGCGGCGCCGGAGGCGCCGCCAGGGGGGTACAGCGCCGGTCCGAGAAATCCGCGCGGACCTCTGAATTGTTATGTTTATGTCACTTTGTGTTCCCCTAGATATCCATGGCCAAGCCTCAATTGGAATTCCACCGGCCTCCAGACCCTGGATTCCTTGTCTAAGGGTTCCCTATCCACTGCCCTCACCGCATGCCCTGTGAGCGCTCTGGCAGCGAGGGGGGACCTCAGGGGGTCTCCGGCTCAGGGGAAACGTTGAGCTGGAGTTAGGTCGGGCGCGTCCTCCTACAGGCGGAGATTTTGGACGGAAAAGAAACAAATATTCGAACAATGGGCAACAACTGCTCCAAAACACCTCCGAAATAGTCCCCCGACTAAGTATTTCTTGACTATTTGTGAATCTTCCCCCATGTGGAGGGACAGGCCCGACTTGGAGCTGGAATCGCCGATGCATCGCCGAGCGATTGGCGATAGGCCCCCGGCAGCGAACCCCATCGCTTCTGGGCGGGGTGGGCTGTCGGGCTCCCTTCGGCGATAAATGGGCGATTGGGTCTGACCCCCCCCCCCAGAGCCTTTGCCTCCCGACACGTCGGTCGGAAACAGGCAGGCTGAAACATGATGTGGAGAGGTGGGGAAAGCAGAGCAGACTCGACCAGGATAGTAAGTATGCGCGGTACGGATGCAGGGGCCTTGGAACGTCATGTTGACGTTTTCCGTGCGGAGCGCAGCAGAGTGCCGAAGGATGCCTAATACCGAAGGGGCAAGGATGCAAGGGTAGCCTTGGAAAGTGGCCCTCATCCTTACCATCGTGGTTGACTGCAGCGGGTTCAGGCCCTCCGAGAGAAGAACACAGCGCAGCAAAAGCATATCGACTCTTGAAGTAGAAAGGCGCTTGAGGTAGATTGGGCTCAGCGAGCCCCGAAAGACCTACTTCAACGACCGGCGTGTAGCGTTGCCCCTAGCTTTAAGTCGGGCGTGTCCCCCTGCAAGGGGATTTTCGACGAAAAGTAAACAATACGCAAAAAATGCCCCCAAAGAGTCAAAACATACAAAAAAATAGTCCCCAGGCTATGTTTTGACTATTTTTGAATATATTCCCCCTGTAGAGGGACAGGCTTGACTTCACCCTAGCTGGAGAGCGGGGGCCGAGAGGAGCCCGACCCCCCCCCTGCGCCATGCTGCTCACACACCGTGCCGCCGTCGGCCTCGAAGCCCGGCTCGCGGCCCGGGGACGTCCGAAACCAGGCTGGGACCTGGCGGGCCCTGGGCCATTTTCCAGCCCGCTTTGAGGTGCTCAGAAAATTGGGGGGCCCTTCTGGAGCAGCATTGGGTCGGGCATGTCCTCCTCAAGGGGGATCTTGGACGAGAAATCAAAAATAAGTAGTCAAAAGATGCTCAACCATAGTCAAACAAATAACCAAAAAATCGTCCCCCGACCATTTTTATAACTATTCTTGAATCTTCCTCCTGTAGAGGGACACGCCCGACTCAAGTGTAGCATCCCTCGACACGCACGCCCCGTTCTCCAGCCCGGCAAAAAGGGCTTGCTTTCAGGGCCCGCTCTCCGGGGACGACGTCGAACACGGGCCCTGAAAATACGCCCCTGCTGCCATTGCCCTGCCGGCTCCGGCGCCGTTTTTTCTTGCGGTTCCGTCGCCGGTTGCTCGCCTGCTCCGGTTCCAAACTTACGATTCCAGAGCCGTCGTTTGCCGCTTCTGGCTGCCGTGTTTTCGACCGCCTCCTTTTTGAAGGGAGCTCTCTGCGACAAAACGGTGACACACATTGGCCCTGCCGCTTCCATGGGCCCACGAAGGCTGCGAGAGCTCCAGGGGCGCAGGGTCCAGAAGAAACGCGACGTCGGGCGTGTGGGGAGGGGGCAGAAGTGAGGAGACTTGAACATACAGTCATCGGCCTGACCTAAGAAACGATAACTAAGGAACGAACCCTTTTTTCCCAAGGAGTAACGAATAAGCAACGACAAATAAGGAAGAACGCATAAGGAACGATGAATAACGCATGCGAACCTAAGGAACGACCGAGCACCTTTTGAAAGGTAAGTATTCCTGATTCAAGCCGCTCACTGCATGTTCGCGTGAACACGGGCAACGGGATACGAGTGGGGGGAACCAAAAAGTACCGATACCACTACTACCCAGACCTCTTCCAGGTCGCGTTCTGGCCAGCATGTCGAGGCGAATCCAGCGGTGGCAGCGAAGGCCTCCCAGGAGATCCAACAAGGAGAAAACGAGGAGGAGGAGGAGGAGGAGCAGGAGCAGGAGCACGAAGACGGGGGTTGGGACAGCCGCAGGAAAAAGAGGCGAAAGTGACGGGTGCCAGAGTTGAATGAGGTGGACGAGCAGCAGCAGCGGCGGCTGCGGTTCACGATGGCGACGACTGCGATTCTGATGCGGACGCTGACGAGGGGGGAGGATGAGGACGAGGAGACAACGAAGAGGCGCCCACAAGGGGCCGCAAGAGACTCCCAAGAGATCCCCGAGAAGCCCACAGGAGGCCCCCAGGAAGGACCAAGAGACCCCCCCGATGGCCCTAAGAGCCCGCCAAGAGGCCCCTGGGCGGCATCCAACGAGCCCCCCAAACGCATTCAAGACGCTCCTGACCCATTGAAGCAGTTCCAAGATCGTTGCAAGCACTCGCTCCTTTGGGGGGGTCGGCGGAATGGCGTAAGCCACATGAATAAATGGGCGAGGATGAGAAGGCAGCGTATGAGCAGGGGTCAGGAGAAGCAGGTGCAAGAGTGAGAACGACAGGGCGACATGGGGGAGGCATTCTTCGACCCCTGAACCTCTTCCAAAACGCGTCCCGACTACGATCCGGCCGCAAGGACAAGGACCCCCCGCGGAGGACCACTGAAAAAGAAGATCCGTGCTCCCCCAGGTGAGACAAGGATCTGGGGCTCGGAGTTCGAACGCTACGTCTGCAGCCACGCGAGATCCAGCGGGGGCCCCCGATGGACCCGCAGGGGCAGGGATCCGCAAGCACTGGCAGACTTCTGTGATGGGGGCCCGGGAGCTCTGGACCAGAAGCCGACTTCGGAGGCAGACCCTTCGCCGCGGGTTGTGCTCTGGTGGCCTTCCCCCCCGCGCAGACTGCGCAACAGAAGGAGCGATCGCCGTGGACCTCCCGCGGCGCTAGGCGAAAATGGCGAGGGGGCATCCAGACGCCAAGAGGTACCCGCGGAGCCAACCGAGCCGAGGCGAGGTCTCCGAAACGTCCCCAGAGGCCTGCCCCGCGGAGACAGAAAAGGCGCCCAAAACTGTCAACTTCGATTTCCCCCCACCTCCGACAGCTTGGGTCGCCCACCCCTGGACCTATCGACCCGCTCTCTCCCCGCTACCGGCTCTGCATTCTGTCGCTTGCTGTCTGTCGCTCTGTGACAGCCTCAGGGCCGCAAACGTCCCCCTGAAAATCGGTGAACAACTCCTGGCGCGATGCCTGTTCGAACAGCCAGGAGGAGGTGATGTAGGAGGAGGAGGAGGAGGTGACGGATGAGGAGGATGATCAGACTTAGGAGGAGAAAGAGGACCAGCAGGATGGGGAGGAAGCGGCGAATGAGAATAATAATAATAATCAAGAAAAGGGAGGAAAAGGGGAAGGGGAGGAGGAGAAATAGGAAGAGGAGGAGGAGGGAAAGAACGAGGAGGGGGGAACATGTTGCGTATCCTGTTCAGGGGAGGGGGGGAGGGGGAAGGCGGCTGTGTCTCTTCGAGGCTGCATTGCGCCCGGGCGGGAGGAGGATGATCAACATGAGGAGGTTGAGGAGGAGAGGAAGTGGCGAGGGAGGAGGAGGAAAGGAGGATGAGGTGGGTAAGGAGGAACACGTACGACGGGGAGGACTCGTCACAGGAACACCACTGGCGCACCTGCGGAGGATCCTACTCGAGGTAAGTGGGGAAAGCTGTGGGCGCACGCCCGGCCACTCAGATCAGGATGCGTGCACCAGGAGGCACACCGAGTGGAAGGCAAGTCCCAACACTCACTTGTGCTCACTCTTGGTGATCTTCACCCTCTCGCCGAAGGCCGCCAGGGTCGCCAGAGCGGTACGGTGCCGCACCGGGTCGCGGTGGAAGATGCCGATGACGGCGTCATCGGAGTCACCTTGCTCCGCACAGGCCCGCCGCTGGAGATCCTGCACCTCTTCCATGTGTGCCCTCGCGGCGTTGATACAGTCCTCCGCATCGGTTTTTGACTATGCCGGCTGCTGCTTGTGGCTCACCAAGTGTTATGTTGTTCGCATCGCGCTCGAGAGCCACATCCCAGAAATAATGTCGAGCACGCGGAAAAGTGTCAAAAGAGTGTCGACACAGTGTCGAAACAGTGTCGGGCGATTGTCTCCCAGTGCCCGACACGTGAAAGACCTCGAGTTGTGGGGTACTGTTCTGGTGCTCGAAATTCTTTCTGGTGGTGAAGGCTAAAGTAGGCTGGGACATCATAACCCTCACCCAGCTAGGGCGGCAGGTTTGGCTCGGATTGCGCTGCCTTGCCGAACTTGCCGTTGATCAAAACAGTGGCGCGAGGCGCCAGCTCTGGTGCTAAGTCGGGCGTGTCCCCCTACACGGAGATGTTCAACGATTTTTTCATTAAATAAAAAAAGAAAAAACAAAAAAAGAACGCAGCAAACACCCAAAATGGTAAACATAGATTCAAAAAATAGCTTCCAAACTGTTTGATTTGTTTGTTACCAGCTCACGC